AGGTGTATGTGGCTGGTGCCTTAGCCACTTGAGCCACAGGCGCCAAGCTCCAGCTATTTTTTGGTTGCAGCCATCATTGTTGTTTTTGGCGGGCCCAGGTTGGATTCGAAACCGCCACCTAAGGTGTATGTAGCTGGTACCTTAGCCACTGGCTATTTTATTTTACTTTCCTAACATGATCTGTATTTAATAAATATCAGAAGTTCTTTTTCTTTATAACCAATTTTAATTTATCTGTGGTAATGGGGACAGGGCGATCTTGAAACTGCAGTTTCCCAAGAACAAATTTTAACTAATTTTAATGTTACCCAACCAGTAGACTTCTCAGCAGTGATTGTTAAAAATTGGCTTGCTTCAATTTGGCTCTGTTTGGTCAATGTTCTAACTATTGCTAAGGCATAGTCATAAATTTAATGATAAATGTCAATGTGTTTATCTTGCTTGTTCTTCAAGTTAATATTTTAAAAGCTAGTTAGGAAGTTATTTCTCTTTTTCATTGTTCTTTTTATAGAATTCTTTAAAATGTAGGGTCTCTTGTTTGCCCTAAACTTTGTCTAAGTCAAATGACAATTTCAATTTTCATTATTCTGGGAATATTCTATATTATAATTTCCCTAATAAACCCAATTTGGGGATGGGAAATGAAAATTGGTAAGTGACCCATAGAATTGTTTTGAAAATGCATGAAATTTGGTGAACTACCTTTGATTTCTCAAATGTGTAAACATGTAAAGAATTATTGGCTTTTTGCCATCTTACTGTGAAAAGTTCCATTGAGGATATATTTTTTCTTTTTCTTTTCTTTTTTTTTTTTTTGAGACAGAGTCTCACTGTGTCACCCTCAGTAGAGTATTGTGGCATCACAGCTCATAGCAACCTCAAACTGTTGGGCTTAAGTGATTCTTTTGCCTCAGCCTCCTAAGTAGCTGGGACTACAGGCTCCTGCCACAGTGTCTGGCTATTTTTTGGTTGCAGTTGTCATTGTTGTTTAGCAGACCCACACCAGGCTCAAACCTGGCAGCCTCAGTGTATGTGGCCGGTGCCCTACTCTACGGGCGCTGAGCCCAAGGGATATATTTTTCATGTGGACTTTCTTCCTCTTCTTTGCAACATCTGGTTTTTTATCTTGTAATGTTATGAATACTGCCGCCTACTGACAAAACGTAATATTGCTTACATGGCATCCTGAGAGAAATAGGCAAAACGTAGTATGTATGTAATGCTTATTACATTCATCAGTTTTCAGTCAGTGTTACAACTATTTTCTTGTCTCTGATTTTTCTTTATAAGCCAGTCTCTTTTGTTTGGAGGGCTATGTCTGTGCTGAGTAGTTTGCTAGTCTTTGTAGTTTCCATTAGTAGGGTCTTCATTTGTTTTCTAACAGTCAGCTAAGGAGCTTCAAATGTGCCTTTGAAATGGGCAGTATTGTCTTTGAAGGTGATTCTCCTAATGGTGGTAGAAGTGTTTTGCAAAGCACTTCACTGATGACATCTCATTTATCCTTCTTATTAAATAAATCTTTTGAGACAGATGAGGAAACTGAGGCTTAGAAATGTTAAATATCTCCACTGAGAGTACCTTTTATTAGGGTATGTTGGAATTTCAGGGGCTATCTTGTGGAAATCCGTTTTGGAACAAAGACCTTTTGTATGCCTAAATATTTCTAAATATCTTTTAATTTTATATCCTCTTTCTGTCTTGAAAGTGATTAAAATATGTTAATAGGCTAAAATTTATTCTTTCCCCACTTTAATTTTCTCATATAAACTTGCAGACCCAGAACATTTTGTGAACTTTGAGAAGTGTCTCTCTTCCATGAATAGCTCTGAAGAGATTTGCCTTCTGACTACCTTTGCTCAGATGGCTCAGGCCAGAAGAACAGACATGGATGAGGACTTCATAAAAATTATTGTTCTGGAGATATATGAGGTTAGAATATAAAGTTTTATAAGTCAACTAAAACATGTTTTCTTTTGGGTTGTCCGTCTGTTGGTTCTTTTTGGGATTATTTTTTTCAAAAATGTGACTGAGCTACTACTATCTGTACTTATGGAAGGGGATAGAGAATTCAAGGAACATCATTTTGCTATAGGGACTATTGAAAACTTGAATTATAACTCATTCTGTTTCCTGCTACTATCCTTTGACATTTGAAACATGAACATTGGGAAGGAAGAGGCAATGTAGCACAATGTGACATTTGGAGAGTTTTTACTATTTGTCCTGACACTTGGGGTTTTTGCACTGTCTGTTTCCAGTCCAAATTCCGCTCCTGCCAGTAACATGGAAGCCTGGCTTCCAAGCCAAGTTAAATGACATAGTGGAAAGAATATTGAATTTATAGTTAGAAGATCTGACTTTTGTTTTAATTTTGCTATTAGTTGCCTATGTCACATCTGAAAACATAATTTAGCACCCTGGGCTTTATTTTTCTCATTTGTAAAATGACAGGCTGGGATGTCATCTGGCTTTCTTCACTTTTTCGCCAAGCCATCCCTCACAGTAGATGAGAGTGAACTTTGGATCGCTCAGTTGTCTGGGGACTAGTCCAAAGTGGCTACCAAAACTTTCAGTGGAGTTTTATGTATATTTAAAAAGCCATGCACATTTTTATACTTTGTGCTGTCTATTATCTGTTTATCTTCATACAGAATACTCCAAAGTTTTCAGTTTTATACTTAAGTAAAATTATATTTGAAGATTCTATGAGTTTTTTTATCCTCCCCCAATAATCCATTTTGAGGATGACAACAGACTTGGGTGATCTAAAGTTTTTTCCAAGATCAAATACTCTGTTTAGCTGTTCTTATACTGATACTTGGTAACCATGCATAAGGTTAAGACCTTGATGGATTGGAATTCAGACTATCTTCATGATTTGAAAAACTTGGGTGAGATTATTTTCACATCCATTAAATGACATCCTCAAGATTTATTGCTACATTAGTATTTGTGCTCTTGAATAATGTTTTCAGGAGTCACAGTAATAATTATATTCTGATCCTCTGTGTGCAATAGAAGCAATATTTAATCTTCTAGTGATGTGCTCTTAAATTTTTCTATTTTATTTTATTCTCTCTGTTATTTTTCTGTCTATTCTATTGTATTCAGAAATGGCAAACACTGGCATTAATGGATTGTGACCTTTAGTTTGAAAGACATTGTTCGAAAGGAGTTGGTAAACACTGGTATTATATTTTAGAAGCAGTTGTAGTTTGGGATCTCATTTTATTGGATAGAATGGGCATTTCCATGACATATGTTCTGATTTTCATCATTTTAATGATTTACTCAAGCTTAGAAAAGTTTTAGAATTGAAGGGACTGCTTTGTTGCTTCTGACTACTTTGGGATACTGTTTTTGAATGTATACTTAAGTCGTTGTTACAAATAGTTACCATTCCCTTCCTCTCTTCTCACCTTCAAGGAAGATGGTTTGTTATCTGAAATTCCAACATTTTTTTGAACCTGGAGTGTACTGAGGCTTTGAGATTCTTTCTGCTTTACTTGGAAAAAAACTACATAAATGTGTTTTGGCTGTTAATTGATATTAAAATTGTCATCTCTCACCCAATTTAGGTATCTTATGTCACCTTGTCCACCAGAGAGACTTTTTCAAAGGTTGGTCGAGAGCTTTTAGGAGCCATCACAGCTGTTCACCCTGAGATAATTTCTGTCCTTTTGGATAGAGTTCAAGAGACCATTGACCAAGTTGGAATGGTAAGAGTGCTTTTTGTTGTTGTTGTTTTAAAAAATCCTGAAGGAATGAAACAATGGTCAAGGATAGGACAGTTGCTGGGAATGACTGTATCATTCCAGGGCACAACAGGGTGAAAGGAAATTAACATTTACTGTGTTGCCAGGCTCTATGCCATTCACCAGGACAACTTGAGATTAGCTGTTACTTATAAAAGGGTGTGATTGTTTCTGTCAAATCTTCTCAAAGTTGACTTTCCAAACTCCTTCAATATCAGGTTTTTGCTTTAATTATAGCCTCTAGTTAATTAACAATTCTTATTTTGTGATTTATTTGGCTTTCATAATTCTCACTTTTTACACTAGGAAGAAACAGCTGTGACTAAGAAAGAAGGCCCTATTTGAAATCACTCAACAGCAAAATTAAAAGTACATAGTGATTTAAGTTGAGCAAGACACAGAAAAAGTTTATTTTTGTTGTTTGTCACAATCCCTTTTGCAATCTGTGTGTGTCAGAAAGTAATTTTCTTTGGATAGAATCCACATACCATACAGTTCACCTATTTAAAGCGTACACTTCAGTGGCTTAGTATGTTCATAGAGAGAGATCACCACACTCAATTTTAGAGCATTTTCATCACCTCAAAAAGAAACGCCATGTCCTTTAACTATAACTTCTATTCTGGTCCCTCCAGCTCTAAGCAACCGCTAGTCTACTTTCTGTGTCTATATAAATGAAATCATAGAATATGTGGTCTTTTGCGTCTGGTTAATTTCACTTAGCATGATATGCTCGAGGTATTTTACATCCACGTTGTGCTGTATGTCAGAATTTCCTTCCTTTTAAAGCCTGAGTAATAATTCCATTGTATGTATATGTCACATTTTGTTTATTCACTTGTCAATGGGCGCTTGGGTTGCTTCTACCTTTCGGCCATTTCAAATAATGCAACTATAAAGGTGGATGTACAGGTATCTCTTTGAGATGTTGCTTTTAATTCTTTGGGGCATATACAAGTAGAATTGCTAGATTATATATTAATTCTATTTTTAATTTTTTGAAGAACCATCATACTGTTTTCCATAGTGGCAGTACATGTACTTTTTCCTTTTAAGAACATTGTGAGATGATTATATTGAGATAAAAAATCCTTTATGTGCAGTTCAATCTAGCAGGAAGTTTTTGGTTACTTCTTTTTGAGTGATTATCTAATGGAATGAATTCCACAGAAATGTACAGTAGGTCATATGATTCTTAGCTCATGACATTTTTCTCTTAAGTGTTTTTATGTTTTTGGCTACATTTACATTATTAATTCGACCATGATACTTCTAGTAGTAAACTGTACCCAGAGCATCTGGTTAACATTAAGGGTAAAAATGAAAACCATAGTATTTTTTAGAGCACATCTTCTGTAAGTTGCCTCCACTCTTGGTTTACACATGTGGTTCCTTTGTGCTCTGTGAACTTGCTGAGATTTTTGGAGGGACTTGTTCAAACTCCCATGCCTTCAGATGAATATGATGGCTTTTAATATTTTCACAGTGACTTTGGCTAGTCTGGAATTATTCTCTAGTTCTAAGAGTCTGGGAATGAGTTGTGACTGGAGCCCTGAACTTTTAGTGACATATTTTGAGTGTATTTGCAGATAACTTTGTGTTCTAAAGGCCCAGCGTGAGAGGGTACAACCTGCGTGGGCATTGTCCTCAGTTAGGATAGTGGCTGATAAGGACAAAGCCTTTTGGGTGTTCCCAAAGTATAAAGAGATATATTTAGTGACAACCTGCAAATTGATGTCATATTTTCCTTTTGGCCTATTTTATAATTTTAAAAATTGGCTCACTTCAGAGGACACTGTCCTATTGTTACTGAAATCCATGTATGTCCCCTGTAACCTCTTCAAGTAAGATGGCAGCTCTTGACTTTCAGTGAAACCATAAATACGTTTCAAGATATACTATGTAAATTCTCTTTTGTTGAGAATCCTTACAAGAATTCTTAAATGGATTCTTTGTTTTCTAATTATTATGCCTTTAATTTCTTTTTCTTTCCTTAATACATTGACTCCAGGAACTTTATTATAGTATTGCATAGAAGTATTAAGAATGGATGTTGCCTCATTCCCTGTCATAGGGTAAAGGGCTACAAAGTTTACTATTAAGTATAACGTTAGCAATCGGTTTTTCTATATTAGGCTGAGGATGTTTCTATTTTCAGTCTGTGTGTTTTTATAAGTAGATATTCAAGTGTTTTTTTTCTGTATCTGTTGAGATCTTGTAATTTTTCCTTTTTATTCTGCTAATGTGGTAATATCGACTGATTTTTCAGATGTTGAATGCTCATTGTTTCTTTCTGGGATAAAAATCACTTGATCAGGCTGGGTCAGGCTGGGTAGAGTGGCTCATGCCTATAATCCTAGCACTCTGGGAGGCTGAGGCAGGTGGATTGCTTGAGCTCAGGAGTTCAAGACCAGCCTGAGCAA